TAGCTGTGGGTTTTTTTATGACAAGGACTTAAATGTATATGAAGGATACTGAGGTGGAAACATGCTCCTTGGGGTAAATACATGAAGGATATGAGTTGTCTCACATCACCTGATGCATCTTTGTGTTGGATGGGTTTTTTTTTGGTGAAGAATAATTAACACAACCTGTTCTCAAACCACCATGTAAACCTGTGCTTGGCACAGGTTTCTGTGTAGCACTTTGTTCATTTCGTTGTCAATTCATAGTTCTGGCAACATGTTGATGTCCTGTGTTGTACTCAATTCTTTTCTTTATTGATTCATAATTCTGGCATAGTAAATTATTCTTTTGACAGTGTGCTGTTTTATTCAGGAGGGAGCCTTGCTGATTTACTAACTAAGCGTGTATAAAAATTACAACCAATATTAAATGTGTAATTACTGTTATGGTACATTATAGCACTAGCATTGTTTCAGAACATGGCTACATTACACTCACTCACCCTTGGAATCACAAAAATCCCTTCTAAAAGTCAATAAAAACAGAAGCAGCTTGCTTTGATGCTATAGTGGTACGAATGGAGATACAGCTAGTTGATGGGTTCTTCTAGCTACTGTAGTTAGTTATCTCCACTGATCTGCCCAGTGTAGCAGAGGAAAATTATACATACAGCCCGAAAAACTTACAAAAACCCAGAATTCAATATCATTTACTACTGAGTAGGTTAGAACTTGGATGGGAGAGTACAACAGATATCAGACTCTATTTCAGAGGAAGGAACTTGAAAAATCACCTCCAGGTATTTTCTATCCAAGAAAACTCTTATGAGATTCATTGGGTTGACATAAGTTGACATATGATTTGAAAGCACATACATATACAGAAACATAGGGAAGGCATGAACTTTCGTAAATGAATCATTTGGCTCTGAATTGTTGAATCCAGCCTCACCAAACCCTTCAATGAATCTTATCTACTGGGTTGCTTGTTGTGTCAGTGATGTCAATGGGTGGTGAATTTCCTTCAAGTTTTAGTCTGAACTTCGAAAGAGCTACCCAAGATGCTAAACCAATGTTGGGGATAGGATTCAGCATCCTGAACACCTCTCTAAAAGTTCAGACTAAAGTCATTGTAGATCAGGCCTCTTTAATCTTTGGCTCTCCAGGTGTTTTGGACTTCAGCTCCCAGAATTTCTGACCATTGAACAAGCTAGCTATGACTCCTGAGAGTTAGAGGTTCAAACAGCAGGAGGGCCACATGTTGAAGAGGCCTATTGTAATTCGTATTCTCATTCACATTGGAGCTATCTGGTTCTTAGAACTACATCACTACATCTCACCTGAGCTTAGTAATTGTCACATCAGGAAGAAACAAATAACTGATTCTCTGTTTGCTCTGTGAAAGAAAAATATTTAGTTAGAACTAGACAAAGAATAGTGTAAAAAACTGGGTGATGATCATTATCCATTCCACCCACTTCAGAAGTGTCCAAGAATTCTCATGATGGTAAGATTAACTGCAGAGCTGCAACATTTCTTCAGGTCAGTGCCTAGCTCGGCTTAAGCTTGTGCTTGACAAATTCTTACAGCATCCCCAACTTTGCCAGTTGGAAAGTGTTGGAAAGTGCAGTTACATTTTTTTTCTGTCAGAACAGAACAAGGCAAAGCTCAGTGAAAGCTGTAGAGTAAAAAAAAACCGCACATCTATTTTTGGCATTGTCACCTGTTACTATCAGCCTTTTCAGCTGAATCTTACAAATTGATTTTGGTTTGCTTCCTGGAATACTTGGAAGAATGTCAGGCTTCCATTAAGAAAATTATATAGGTTAACCCCTTGGTTGGATCTGCAAAAGAAATATCCCCCTTGACATCTTATCACAGAGCCCCAAGTTGACCACATTTCTTACAAAAATTCAAAAACCAGAAAATGCACAACCTGGAATAATCGTATACTCTTAAAAATGGGTTTGGTATAGTATAAGATAATGAGATATATACAACACTACTATGCAACAACATCAATCTTTCCCTATACTACTGCTGGGACAACCATTATATATGTTGCATGTGGAAAGCTGTATGTGTGTGCTACACTTACCACTATCTCCTGATCACTAACTATATTAGCTGTGTGTGCTTTATAGAGCCCAAACTCTGATTTCAACCCTCTGTACATGATCTAAAGTGCATCAGAGTTTTTTTTTAAAACAAAACTGATTATTGGGGGCAATCCTCAAAGTGCAATATGTAGGGAGAGAGGTTTTTTTTGTTTTTAAATGAAAACAGATCACGTTTTAGTAGTAGAATTTGCAATGCATGTTGTCATCATAGGTCATCATGGTTGGAGCCCTTAATTTCTGTTTGGATTGTGCCACCTCCCCTCCAAATAAATCCAAATATTCATAAATGCCAAGACGTGATTATATCATCATCATCATCATCATCATTTATATTCCGCTCTATCTCCCTGAGGGGACTCAGAGCAGTTCCCAGGTAACATCACAAAACATACAAAGTAAAACAACATAACCATAAGATTAACAAAACAATATAAGCATAAAAATTGTTGCCATAACACACATATATTAAAAGTAATCCTTCCTGTTTAAGGCAATTCAAAAATTTACAAGGCCGGGCCAGGATTTGTACAAGCCCAAAATTTCTAGGGGGTCTGGAAATTAAGTGCAATGCTATGGCAGGCAACAATGATATTAGGTACGGGTCTGTGGCTGTTCATTCTGGGACCGATTAGAGGAAATGATCTGGGTAATTGGTAGGAAGAATAAGGCCGTAATCGACAATGTGTAAGACTGAGTTAGAGCTGGTCATTTTCAAATGCTTTATGAAATCACCAGGTTTTCAAGTTCTTACAAAAGGAGGGGAGAGATGGGGCCTGTCTTATTTCCCTTGGAAGGGTGCTCCAGAGGCGGGGGGCCACCACCGACAAGGCCCTCTCTCTCGTCCCCACCAACCGTGCTTGTGACAGAGGTGGGACCCAGAGGAGGGCCTCCCCGGAAGATCTTAGAGTTTGTGCTGGTTCATAGAAGGAGATGCGATCGCAGAGAAAGACGGGGGCTGAACCATCTAGGGCTTTGTAGGTCATGACCTGCACCTTGAATTTGGCTCGGCAACTTATCGGCAGCCAATGAAGCTGTTTTAATAGGGGTGTTGCATGCTCCCTATAGTTTGCTCCAGTAAGGAGCCTGGCTGCCGCCCGTTGTACCAGTTGAAATTCCGGGCCGTCTTCAAGGGCAGCCCTATGTAGAGCATATTGCAATAGTCCAATTTGGATGTAATCAAGGCGTGGACCACCCTGGCCAGTTTCACTCAATTTACTTAAGAATTAACAGCATGCTGCTTTATTTCTGAAGTGATTTTTTGATAAATGTTTTTATTTTCATAAGAGCAGACCCATTGCAATCAGTGGGAGTTTAGTTTGTCCTAAATCTCAATAATTTCAGCAGATCAAGTCTAACTCTAGAAACAACTCATGGAAAAAATACTTTATTGATGACCAAGCATGGAATAGCAAGATCACACATACACTTTTGTAGCTTTCTATATTGCCAGGGGCACAGGCCCATAGCCAGGATTTCGTTTCGGGGGGGGGGGGGGGGGGAATTTTTTTTAGGGGGGGTGAGTTTCGGGGGGCTGAGTCTGAGTGAAAGAGGGTCTAGCCTAGCAAACCTTTTGTATCATTACCCCAATACCCCCATGCATATGGGGCATATGGGAACATGGATAACGAGATTGGATTGTGATTCTATGATGAGACGTCGCGAATGATTTAGTGTAATTGTATTATTGATAGTGATGTTGTTATTGTTGTTTGTGATATTGCCTTTATTGTAATTTGTTTTTATATGTTGTACACCGCCGTGAGTCGCCCTAGGGCTGAGAACGGCGGTCTACAAATGCAGTAAATAAATAAATAATAAATAAATATATTGAGTATGGTGATCAGATCATGATATGAATAAACATAACAGTTTAAATAATGCACCAGTAAGGCCTTCTCGCGGGCCACCATGAGAATTTCGGGGGGGCTGAAGCCCCCCGAGCCCCCCCCGGCTACATGCCTGCAGGGGCATGTTGGAAGAACATGACAACGTGGGTTGCACTAGGTCCAAATCTTGCTCCAGTCACTCTCTTTCACCCTTCACCACTGTCAGAGCAATGTCTCTGGAGGAGTGAAATTGCTAGACATATCTGACAGTAGATTTCTTATTTTGACAATCAGGATGAAAGTCCAAGACATCTGAAAGCACTTCAGCTGCTTCTGTAGAAATGTAGAATTGTTCTTGTAATGGTTTTAAGAAAGCATTTATATGAAGGTTTTAACAATATGCACATTTATTTATATTTGGTCACATACATTGGTTTCTCCCAGGTTTCATTTCCCCCTCTATTCTGACTGAAAGTCAGCTTCATTTGATATCAAAAGAGGCCTCAAAGTATTATAAACATGTACCAAAAAAAAAAAACTTATACGAATCAAAAGCCAATAGCCATCATTTTATGTTTTGCGAAAAATTCTCTTAAGGGAATACATTTTTGCAATTCATCAATTTTTAAAAAATTAAATGAGTGGAATGCATCTTGAATTGTTTTTAAATGACGTTGTACCTTTTTAATGCAGATCTTATGTGTGTTTCAACACAATCTTTGTTTTTCCTCTGTTTGATAATAACAAACTGTTTTCAGGAAAGCGTAACCTTAATTTGTATGCTGCAAGCCAAACAGCTAAGGCTACAGTATAAGGCAATCTTTATTTATGCGGGTTTGTGGCGTTAGAAATTATGGCTGTTCTCATGGGCTCATTTTGGGTTTTTTTTTATAGTTATTCATTTAGGTGTGAAATATGGCTAGTTTTGAGGAGTATGATTCCAGGAGTTGGAAGGTTAGTATTTATATGGAGATGCCTTTATTTTACAATGAATATCGTCTTCTGCTAGGATATCATAATTTAACAAAAGGACCATGATGGGACCCAAATAATTTTGTTTAAAAATTGCTTGCAGGCAGAATACCACTTTGAATACACTGAGTGTGATAGCACCGGATCCAGATGGAGGGTGGCAGTCCCAAATCCAGATGTGGAATGTTCTGGGTTACCTGATCCAGTCAAAGGAAAGGAATGCAGTATGTCTTTACATTTTATTTCATCAAAAATGTTATGTGAAAATTGCCTGTTTTTTGTCCTTCATATATGTAATTACGACTTAGGATACATCTACACTGTAGAATTAAAGCAGTTTGACACAATTGCTCAAGGCAATGGACTCATGGGAGGTGTCGTTTTGCAAGGTATTTAGATCTCTTTGCCAAAGAATGCTGGTGTCTCAGGAATGATAACTCCCGTTATTCCATAAGATTGAGCTATAGCAGCTGCAGTGGTGTTAAAGTGCACTAGTTCTACCGCGTAAATTCACTTTATGGCTGCAATACTCATATGCTTGAGAGCGAGCTTAATTGACCTCATTGTGGTCTCTCTCTTGGGAAACCTGAGTATGTTTGCACTGTTGATATCTACTAGTCAGGTTGATATCTACAGTCTGCGCCCTTTCTTGCTCTTAAAAAAAATCATATTATTATTCAATGTTTAAACTTAGGGCCTAAATTATGCCTTTTCTTTAGTAGACTTGGACAATCTTATTCAGTTCAAGGGCCAAACTTGAACTGTTACTCCTTCCCACCTGCTACTAAGGAGGCTGTTCAAGTCCTGAACCGGTGCTTGGCCGCTGTAACAGACTGGATGAGGGCTAACAGATTGAAACTAAATCCAGACAAGACAGAGGTACTCCTGGTCAGTCGAAAGGCTGAACAGGGCATAGGGTTACAGCCTATGCTTGACGGGGTTACACTTCCCCTGAAGGCTCAGGTTTGCAGCTTGGGAGTGATCCTGGACTCATTGCTGAGCCTGGAACCCCAGGTCTTGGCGGTGGTCGGGGGAGCTTTTGCACAATTAAAACTTGTGCGCCAGCTGCGTCCGTACCTTGGGAAGTCTGACTTGGCCACGGTGGTCCACGCTCTGGTTACATCTCATATAGACTACTGCAATGCTCTCTACATGGGGTTGCCTCTGAAGACTGTCCGGAAGCTACAACTAGTCCAATGAGCAGCAGCCAGATTACTAACAGGAGCGGGGTACAGGGAGCATACTACTTCTCTGCTGCGTCAGCTCCACTGGCTGCCAATTAGCTTCCGAGCACAATTCAAAGTGCTGGTGCTGACCTATAAATCCCTAAACGACTCCGGCCCAGTTTACCTGTCCGAACGGATTCTCCCCTATGAACCATCAAGATTGTTAAGATCTTCTGGAGGGGCCTTTCTCTCGGTCCCACCACCTTCGCAATTGCGTCTGGTGGGGATGAGGGACGGGACCTTCTCGGTGGTGGTCCTTCGGCTCTGGAACTGTCTCCTGATGGAGATTAGATCTGCCCCTTCCCTCCTGACTTTCAGAAAGCTGGTAAAATCTTGGCTCTGGAATATAGCATTTGCAGAATGATGATTGAGTCAATAACTGCTGACTGCACTGGCGGATGGTGATGAATTTGTAATCTTACCTTGATGGCTTTATGTAAATAATTACATAAATGGCTTTATGTAATTATTTGATCTGTATTTTAATGTATTTTAATGTATTAATGTATTACGATGTTATTATGTTTTATCCTATTTGTGTCTGAATTTCCTGTTGTTAGCTGGCCTGAGTCCCTCTTGGGAGGTTGAGAAGACCAGGTTATAAAAGCTCTAAATAAATAAATAAATAAATAAATAAATAAATAAATAAATAAACTGATTCTAGGCAAGCATACACTTGCCTACAGTGGGTAGAGACACCCTACTACTAGTATTTTGCCCCAAATGTAATGACTTAGATACTATTTTCTCTTTCTTTCTGTCCACACAAATACCACATTCCCAGTCTTCAATCAAACCTTTTCATGGTTTTCATTGAGAATAATGGCACCTCATAGGTGGTTGGGAGGGAGGAACTATTTTTCCTCTCCTCTTCAGCATCATGCTTCTATGTTAACTTTTTATAAAGCCTCAGTAGACACCAACAGAGCTGTTTTAGAAGCCTAATTACAGTTGGACATGGAGAGAAAGCATTTCAGAGGTTCATATATTTGAGGAGATGCATACTGAGTCTCCAAGATAACAGCTTGCCAGAAAATGTGTGTCATGTTAGAAACAGGCTTCAAAAAGATTTCAGTGACACTAAAGTAGGCTGTCTCAAAGGAAGGGAAGCCCCTTATCTCTAGATTATCATTGAGATAAGTCTAGGAGGAAGCTGACAGACTAGATAGGGACCCATTATGAACCACATTAGCCCACAGCCTAGAGATTGTGCATCTGGCCTTTATATTTTGTTCACAGAGATACTACTTATATTGCCACCTAATGCAGACTAATCAGGAGTGATTTCTTAATCAAAGCTTGAGGTTAATGCGACCATACAGATAATAGGTAATAGGTAAGCGTGCACATTGAAATGCTAAATGACTCTCACTTTTTGTTCTTTGTTAAGTATGAGTGCATTCACCTGTGCAATGTGATGCTCAAAGGCAATTTGTATCTCACATAAAATAGGGTTGCTTCACATGTGGAAGAGAGATAAATCTGTTTTTGCTACAGTGAATAACAAAGAGTTGCAGTTTCCTCTGAAATTGCACCTGTATAATATAAGTGTTTCTGTGCATAAACATAGATAAGCGGCTCCCATATCCTCTGGACTGATATTTGTTGTTTATCCAAATTATGTCGCTCTTGGTATTCCAGTATGGGCTGAAGTCTTTGATTTCAACAAGGTTCACTCTTATTTGTGGCTTCATGTATTCACGCTAAGTCCAGGAATATATCCCTTTAGATATGGGTGTGTGTGTTATACTGTATAGCATCTGAGGCTGCCTTTAATATACATGTATAATGCCACAAGGTGGCCTTTAGATGTAACTGTATAATGCAAAGTTTTAAAAACACATTTGTTCTATTTATATGCTTATTTATGGAGACACAGATATAAGTGCTGGGCAGCTGTGTCGGCTTGGATGAGAGCAAAGAAATTGGAATTGAATCCAGACAAGACAGAGGTCCTTCTGGTCTGTTGCAGTTTAAGAATTTTTGTTCTCCTATATCCAATTGTATTCCCACTATTCTGCCCCTGTTGTCTTTGAATGCCAACTTGGCTTGGGTGTTGTCTTTTACATATATTACCACTCCTCTATTTTTTTTCTGGTGCTGTGGAGTAAAATTCTTTTCCCAGGGACTTCTGTGCTAGGTGGGCCACATGTTTCCACAAGATGTGTGTTTCCTGTAGGGCTATTAAATTGTAGTTTTCTTTCTTAATCTGTTTCAATATCTTATTTCTTTTATTGGGGGAATTAAGGCCATTTACGTTGTTCGAATAGCACTTAATTAGAATCATAGAATCATAGAATCATAGAATCAAAGAGTTGGAAGAGACCTCATGGGCCATCCAGTCCAACCCCCTGCCAAGAAGCAGGAATATTGCATTCAAATCACCCCTGACAGATGGCCATCCAGCCTCTGTTTAAAAGCTTCCAAAGAAGGAGCCTCCACCATACTCCGGGGCAGAGAGTTCCACTGCTGAACGGCTCTCACAGTCAGGAAGTTCTTCCTAATGTTCAGATGGAATCTTCTTTCTTGTAGTTTGAAGCCATTGTTCCGCATCCTAGTCTCCAGGGCAGCAGAAAACAAGCTTGCTCCCTCCTCCCTGTGACTTCCTCTCACATATTTATACATGGCTATCATATCTCCTCTCATCCTTCTCTTCTTCAGGCTAAACATGCCCAGCTCCTTAAGCCGCTCCTCATAGGGCTTGATCTCCAGACCCTTGATCATTTTAGCCACCCTCCTCTGGACACATTCCAGCTTGTCAATATCTCTCTTGAATTGTGGTGCCCAGAATTGGACACAATATTCCAGGTGTGGTCTAACCAAAGCGGAATAGAGGGGTAGCATGACTTCCCTAGATCTAGACACTATGCTCCTCTTGATGCAGGCCAATATCCCATTGGCTTTTTTTGCCGCCACATCACATTGTTGGCTCATGTTTAACTTGTTGTCCACGAGGACTCCAAGATCTTTTTCACACGTACTGCTCTCGAGCCAGGTGTCCCCCATTCTGTATCTTTGCATTTCTTTTTTCCTGCCAAAGTGGAGTATCTTGCATTTGTCACTGTTGAACTTCATTTTGTTAGTTTTGGCCCATCTCTCTAATCTGTCAAGATCGTTTTGAATCTGCTCCTGTCCTCTGGAGTATTGGCTATCCCTCCCAATTTGGTGTCATCTGCAAACTTGATGATCATGCCTTCTAACCCTTCATCTAAGTCATTAATAAAGATGGTGAACAGGACCGGGCCCAGGACAGAACCCTGCGGCACTCCAAGATGAAGATTGACCATTCCATCCTTCTTTTCTTCTTCTTCCTCCTCCATTGTGTCTAGGTTTCTTGCAGCCTTCCCACTAGGCATTTCCACTTTTTCTGGAGAATCTGTTCTAGGGCATATTCTGGGCTCCTTCAGATCTCTTGGCTTGGTGTCTTCCATGTCCTTCTTAAATCTTTTGTAAAAAGTCTCTTGCGTTGTCCTCTGATGTGAGCCAGTGGCATTCTTCTTCATAGGTCACCATTATTCCTTCCATCCTTTCCCAGTGAAATTTGATGTGGTGTTTTTTTCAGCTCCTCCATTAGGAACATATATTTTCCCCTTTTCATAAGGGTTACTGATGGGATTTCTTTCAATATTGCCACTTTTCTTCCCTTATAGTATTTAAGGGACACATTGTTTTATTTCAGAATTTCATCTCTTATTTTCTTTTTTTGTAAAGTGTACTATTAAATCCCTTTCTACTTTTGTAAAAAAACTTGAAGAAATACAATCAGAACAAGATTGTATTGATGATAATGGGAGATTTCAAAGGAGTGATGGATGCTCAGTTGGACAAAACTAACACAGCCATAAAGAACGGATACAGGTCACCAGGAAAACTCCCTGTCAATTTTTTATACCTCCAAGAAAAAAATGGATTATAGGATGACTGGAGAATACACTATGGAAAGGAACAGGACTTTACTTTCATGCGGGAGAATTTTATCCAACAAAACATGCTGAAGA